GATCAAATGTAACATATTACAAAGCGATAGTCGAGAGAGAGTGTTAAAGTAAGGTGCTTCTTGTTGCTTAGGCAAGGTTGTCATGAAAAGGCTGTTCTGGCTTGGCTCAATCCTGACGTACACGAATAGTGTCTGGAATCTAACATCTTGCAGTTATTACCAACTACACGAGATATCTGAACTTGGGAACCTTTATGGACTGTTCCATTATATGTGAACTCTTATATTTAATTGCAGATTTCGGTGAAGCATACTATACCCCCAAATACCTTCGTCTTAAACTATGTTAATCTGATCAAGACCAGTCGTTCTCCTTCACGTGTTTAGTTCTAACAATAAGTCGATGTAGCGCGTCATGGCTATTATGCTATTATGACTGTATCATCAATCAATAACGAATGATGTCAAAAAGTCTGTCTGTTGATGTTGATACCGTACTTCAGTGTCCATTTAAGTGCTTTAAACGAAAATTCGTGTCCAGGAGGTCAAGATAAAAAAGGAGGGATGACAGAACCACAAACCCCTCTTGTACACTTTTTTCGATTGAGAAATATCGATATAGAATCCAGTCCTACTCTCACAGATGCCACTTGATTTCAAAAAAAGGTATTCCTTATGAATGATTTTAGGTCGTCATTCTCATCTATCGAATCGTTTCCTCGGAGCAATCTTACTAATTACCTGAATTGCTGAGCTCTCTGCATTTCTGAAAGTAGGACAGTTAAGCTGAAAGTACTTCTCTTAGTGCGAAATCCATGTCTGACAACTGAACTGGTGATGGGGCTAATGTCTCTTTCACATCTTGTAGTATACTCTTATTGTTTATAAGTAATCTTTAAGAAGAGTTTTTAGGACCTGGACTGAAATAAGCTTTTTTTTTTGTCCTTTAGTCGAGGGGGGGCTGGAATCTTCAAACGACATCTCAGTCCAGGACGCTGCCTGACTAAACCTTAGTGTCAGGATTCGTTCTTAGTACTCTCGGCGATAGTTCCCGCGGTACTTTAAAATGACCCGCTCGGTCGCCGAGTCTACGCCGCAAACGCCCTCCCTGCCTAAACCAGACCTCTCCACTGTCCATCCAGCGATCGCGGAAGCGGAAGGGGCCGACTTGTAACGGCCGGCCATCACTTCCAAAGCACTACCTTTTATTCATATATTCGATCCATTCATACACATCACACACATCCCTAGTATCGGCCATCATACCCAGTATAGGGGCATTACTATGTGGTTGTCAGCTGTGATTATCGCCCCCCGGAATTTAAGACTCCTGTTACTACTTCGAAGGTTGTGTATCCATTAATATTGAAGTTCTGCCTATCGCCTTGGTCATGGAGGATTTTTTGGTTACTTACCATGAATTTTGTCTTATTCTTTCATTTTATTCGGAGACCCAGACTACCTGTTTCCTCCCTCACGCTGTATATATACCCTTCACACAGTCTCATGTAGAAATGCATTGACTGCATCTAGTTATCAACAGGAAATCGCCAGCAACGTGTTTTGATCCTTGAACACCAAATTCCCACCCCTGTCAGGCTCAGAAGATACTTTTAACTTATTGGCAATAATCTAATAGCGACATGAACCACTAAGACAAGTTCTATATAAAGGAAAAATTATAGACAGCCGAAGTAAATCGAATTATATTGCAATCTATATTGGAATCAAACAGCAAATGTCAAGGTTGAGGGCAGACTAACAGAAGAAATTCAAATCCGCGAGGAGTCCGGCAGGATGTATCTTATCGCCACTTTTATTTAATCTGTATAGTGAAGCTATCTGTGAACAAGCACTCGAGGAAGAAGATCTTGGTCTGATAATAAATGGTGAGACGATCAACAATATAAGGTATGCTGACGATACAGTTCTCCTAACGGAACGCTAGTAGAACTACAACATCTCGTTCAAAGTCTCAATATATACTGTAACAGTTACGGCTTGAAAATTAATTTGAAAAAAACTAAATTTATGGTAATCACGAAATCAAAGAACATCAGAGCTAATCTTGTAATAGACAATACAACGATTGAGCGTGTGCCCTGTTATAAATATCTAGGTGCTTGGATCACAGACGATACTGATCAAACAAAAGAGATTAGATGTAGAATAGAAATCGCTAGATCAGTCTTTAATAGAATGCGCAAACTCTTTTGCAATCGTGATATCAATATAAAGTTACGAATACGAATGCTGCGGTGTTATGTCTTTTCTACCCTGTTATATGGAGTTGAGGCTTGGACACTAAAACAGTTGACCATAAAAAACATCGAAGCTTTCGAGATGTGGTGCTATAGGCGCATTCTCAGAATATCATGGATGGACCGCGTCACTAACACGCAAGTACTCCAAACTTTAGACAAAAGATGCGAAATTCTAAATGAGATAAAAACTAGAAAGATGGAATACTTGGGGCACATTGTGAGAGGTGAAAAGTACGAACTTTTAAGAAACATCATGCAGGGCAAAATTAAGGGCAAAAGAAGTGTGGGAAGAAGAAAAATATCGTGGCTTCGTAATCTACGTGAATGGTTCGGGTGTAGTTCGATTGAACTTTTTCAGGCGCGCTGCTAACAAAGTCGCAGTGGCCATGATGATTTCCAATCTCCGCTAGGAGTGGCACGAGAACAAAAAGAAGAATATTCTAAAGCAAAAATGAACAACAAACGGTTACAAGGGGTCCCCCAGCCTAAGTCCTGAATTTATACACAAATGGCATAGAATGGTCTCAGCTTCCTATCTTTACTTGTCACGCATCATATGAGACAGGTCACGCCATTTACTAATTCACAACTAATTATCTTGGTATTGCTCATTTCTAACGTTACTATCCACAAATTAGTTCTTTTATAATTGAAATCATTATGGCTTGCTGGACAGAACTATGATAATTTGGTGCTACGTCGCTGTTGCATTCACAGTTATTTCTCTACTGATTATCAGGATGGTAAATATCTGATCTATCGTTGACCTTTCCAGCAATAAAAGCCAGCATTGGTAGCGCGCTAGAATGATCTTCAAAGTTGGGAACTTTGCATCTGATCTATGAAACCAAAGATCATACTGTAGAAATAGAAACAGACGAATATAGAGTTTGCCAGATACAGCAATTAAATAAAACGAATGTAAGCCACTCCTTATCGTGCAAAAACTCTAAATTTTTGGAGGATCAGACTACGTACATCTCGTGGTATATATTATCGATATTATTATATGGAGTGAGACTTCTGGACATCTAAAAAAATGGTAATTTAAAAAGCAACGCGCACAAGGCCTGTCGAACTCTGGTTAGACCGCAGAGTATTGAAAAATATCATGGACCTGATAGAATTACAAATAAGAAAGTACTGGAGAGGGTTGGTAAACGAAACAGAACTAATACTCCATGGTTAAAGGAATCGACGTGTGAATTGTGTACACAATGCGAGATCGAATGATTTGTTTAGAGCAGGCCAAGTTTCTAAAATCGAAAATAGGCATTATGATTGCCCACCCTCCGTAAGGGAGACGGCACTCTAAGAAGAAGAAGACATATCACCGAATAAGGTGTGATGTTTCTCTAAGCAAGATAAATGGATAGCAACGATATATGATGAACTAATAAGGCGATATGCCTATATAAAGTTTCGCAATTGTGTTCTTTGTTTTCTTGTTTTATGTATATGGGAATTATTAACGCTTTCATTCTATTCTCCCATTTATGGCCCTCATTTCCCTAGTGTTTAACGGTCTTTTAGAGACGCGATCGCATTCTTTACTTCCTCAAGTGTTGGTGCTGGTATTTCGATATCTGCAAAGAAAATATCTGCTTCCTCCTCAATATTTATAGTAAATTCCGAAAGTATTCCTTCCTCGTTTTAAACGATTTCCGTTTCTATCATTAAAACTTCACCTGCTTCATTTCATCAGGCTGTGTATAACTCACTTCACAATAAGAATGTCCTTATTTGATTCCTCTCGCCACTTCTGTTTATTCCTGGATTTTGCTGTTCTAGGTAGTCCTTCTTTTAGTTATGAATGTCGCCTTGTTTGTGCTTTTATCTGTTAAAATCTGCTTTGTTCTCATCTGTGGAGTCTTGTAGCATTTTCAATCTTTTTTTCGTTTTTTTTTGTTTTTCGTATTTGATTTGTTCCGGCATCACAATTCGCCCCATTGTTCTCCAGCTGCATTAGATCATTATCATCATCACGTAGTGCTACAACCCTGGTGGGTCTTGCCTGACTGTACAAACTTTTTCCACTTTGTTCGATCTTCCATCAACATAGGGTCAAATGGAATGTTCATTTTCGGAGATGTCTGCTTGGATGGTATCTCTCCATCGCATTCTGGACGTCTAGTGGTTCTTTTGCCTGTAAAAATCTCCTCCCATACCAGTTTTACAAGCTGCATTAGATGTTCAAGAAAAATTTTATGTCTTTTGCACATGTTTTATTGTACAAGTTCTTGTTATTTTTGTCCGTTTCTTCTCAATTACTGCATAAACTGTTGTCTTAAGCTGGTCTTAAGTAAAATAAGTCGTCTAATATCAATCTAAATCAATTTAGATATGATGAGAACACAAAACATTTAGTTAAATGCCTTAGAAATATCAAAATGTACTACTTCTAGCAGTTATTCTACGTATTTTGATACGCTTATGTCGCTAATAATCTAAATCGGTGACAGAACTGTGTTTTTTATCTATTAAAAATAGAACAATATATAATTTACATGTAGAAACAACACAAGTATGCTTTTAAAATAAGACAAAAATAAAAAACCAATTCCCGGAAAACCCGCCAACTTATCCTGAGCACCGAAATCGTGACGATACGGCAGCCAAAGTGCCTCCAAGTCCCACCCTCGGCGAATCAAAATTCAGAAAAACGGAGAACGACGACGTCCCGGAAAAGCCGGTGAAAAGAGAAGAAAAACGCCAGCGGCTCACCGATGTACGCGACTGGCATCGGGATAATATTTACTCTCTATTACATCGCCAGTGTGTTGGCAGATCTATTAGGGGAAGCACAGTAGCAGCGTGGGTGTTGTGACAGTTATTAGACACCAATAAATCGGCGGAAAAAATGGACGACGATAGTAATCACAGCAGTTTGAAGGTAGAAAAAAGCTGCGGTTCGGTTACGCCGTTTTCGATTAACGATATTTTGAGTAAAAAAGTTGAGCAGAACGTTGATAGAGACGATGATAGTGATGTGCAGGAATCTGCCTTGGATATGTCTAAGAACCAAAAGATTTTAGAAGGTAAGATTTAAGAGGGTAGTATTTTGTTAATATAATATTCATCTTTTTTGTTTATTGAAAAAGAAATAAGAAAAATAACATTGTTTTCTTAATTTTAACATAATTTCATACGTTTAGAAGATTCATTATAATATAAATATAATTCGATTATATTGACTCCTACAGAATATAATATGCTATAGTTTCGCTAAAATAGCTGTAACAAAGTCCAATTTATAATTGGACTAAAAGCTAATATAATTGTACTTATCTATATAAAGTACATAATTATGAATAATAATAATTAATTAATGTAATAATTTATGATATCGTATATTTGATTGTATTTATGAATGTGTTTGCGTTCCGGTTTTTAGCTTCCAAAATTCTTTCCACTCTTCTTCTTCTTCTTCAAGTTTCGCTCCTATCGGAGATTGAAATCATTTCGGCAATTATAATTTTGTTGGTTACGCGCGCTGAATAGTTCAATTGAACTGCATCCAAACCATTCACGGAGGATGGCGTAGCCACGAGATTTTACGTCTTCCTATGCTTCTTCTGCCTTTGATTTTACCTGCATTATATTCTTAGTAGTTCGTATTTTCACCTCTCATGATGTGCCCCAAGTATTCCAATTTCCTGATTTTTATGGAATTTAAAACTTGCATTGTTTTCCTAGTTATTCGAGAACTTGTTCGTTTGTTTGCGATCCATCCATGATAATTTCAAAATAGTCGGTAACACCACATTTCGAATGCTTCTAGGATTTTAATGTTGGATTTTTAAGTGTCCAAGCTTCAACTCCATACAAAAGGGTAGAGAAAATATAACATCGAAGCATTCTTATCGGAGCGATATATTGATATCGCGATTACAAAAAAGTTTTCTCATTCTATTAAAAGTTGACCGTGCAATTTCAATGCGGCATCTTATTTCTTTTGTTCTGATCAGTATCTTCTGTAGATCCATGCTGCAAGGTATTTGTACGAAGATATTTGTTCAATTTGTGTATTATTAGTATAACTTGATGTTTTGTGTTTTGTAAAATACCATGAACTTGGTTTTCTTCATATTTATTTTTAGTCCATAATCGTTGCAATATATAGTTAGTTGTTCAGCAAGGTGTTGCAGTTCTTCTAGTGTTCCTGCAGAAGGACGGTGTCGTCAGCATATCTTATGTTATTAAGTGGCTCACCGTTTATTATAAGGCCCTCACTGACCTCGGCAAGCGCTAATTCTGAGATGGCTTCACTGTATAAATTGAATAACAAGGGTGATAAAATACACCTTGGCGGACCCACGGCGAATCTGGATATCCTCGGTCAGTTCATTTTCAACTTTCATTTTGCTGTTTGGTTCCAATAGAGGTTACATATGATTCTAATGTCTCTACTGTCTATGTTTTATTTAATAAAATTTCTTTAAGCGATTGTGCTGCACTCTGTCAAATGCCTTCTGAAAATCAATGAAACAGGCATATACTTCCTGATTTATATCTAAGCATATCTGCGAAAGAACACTTACTGCAAACAGTGCATCTCGTGTTCCAGTCCTTTCCTAAATCCCATGTGTGTATTACTTATGCCTTATCTAATTTCTTATGTATTCTATTGTGCATTACTTTTAAAAACAATTTCAAAACATGACTCATTAAGGCTATGGTGCGATGTTCATTGCACTCCTTTGCATTGGCTTCTTTGGGAAGCAGTATGAATGTTGATTGAAACCATTCTTTAGGTATTATACCTGTTGTATATATGGTATTGAATAGATCCAAAAGAAGATCGATAATATTCAGTATTCACAATTTTGAGTAGTTCGATAGGAACTTTATCACCTTTAGCTTGTTTTATTGCATATTCAATTTCTTCTCTTATAATGTCAAGCCCAGTATCATTCTTAAATTCTTTTGGGTGCTTCTGGTCTCTCTTTGTCTTCAAAAAGTTATGCTGTATATTGTGTCCATCTCCGCATTGTTTTGGTTTATATCTGTTACAAGTGCACCCTTTCATCTCTTAGTTGCCTAGTTTGAAGTGTTTTTCTCATTCCTGTTAATTCTCTAATTCTTTTATGTATGTTAAAAAGTCATGTTTTTTCTCAAATTCTTTTAGTTCTTGGTAATGCTCATGTAACATTTTCTCCTTAGCTTCTTTTATTCTCTTTTTAATTAATCGATCAGTTTCATTATATTTATTGGATTTTTTGTGTTGAATGATTTTCTTTCATTCATTAATAGTAGTATTTTTCAGTCATCCAGTCTTTATGTTCTCTTTTCTTTGGTTTTTTAAGGTTTCGTTTGCTATTTTAATTATTGCTTCTTTTATATTTTCCCCATCAGTCATCCTCTTTCAGATATCTTTCCATATAGTGTATCCCTGTTCACTAGATCTTTTTGGACGTCCTCTTTTCGTTCTGTGTTGATATTTTTAATTTATTATTCATATTGGCATTCAGTGTAAATTCTTTTTATACTGCATATCCATACCACATGTGTTCTTTCAGGTGTATATCGTCAGTAACAGTTCATCAGCTTCCGAGTGATCTCATGAAGTGTTCGTTTCTATTATGATTTTCATGTAAATATTCTATAAAGTCCATTTCTGTTTCCAGTAGTATCTTTGCTGTTCAGCGACTAAATTGCTAAAAATCGTCCCTGAATGTTACTAAGCTTTTATAAACATAATTTTCAATGTAGAGTTTGTTTTATGTCATATTTCTTTACCAACATGTAAATTTATTATACTGCTTTCTATTTACCTATGTATCTATCTCAGCTTCGTCTTTTTCAAGTGCCCTTTCCGAATCAGAGGTTATATATCATCACCACTATCTTTAATCTATCTACTGCTTCTCCGAAGAGTTCTATTGAATTGCGTCGAAACCAGTATCTTAAATTTTCAACCATGACACTCTCCTTTTGCTCACTCTCCATTCTCCTCTTATTTTTCCCTGTATTATGAATTTTAGCATTTTATATCACTGTCCCCTCATTATTTTTTTCTTTGAACCTATTCTCTATCCTTCCATTGTTGGATATAGGTCTCCCCCAGTTCTCTCCATCTTTCCCTATCTTGAGCTGTTCTCTGCCATGTGGGACACTCCTTGTTTCCTGATGTCATCTTTCCACCTCATCTGTGGTCTGCCTCTTGATCTCTTAGCATTGCATGGACGCCACTTTCCGATGGCATTGTTCCATCGTCCGTCTTGGAGACGTTCATTGTGTCCAGCCCATTTCGATTTCAGTTTTGCTGCTTGTTCTATCGCGTCTACTGTCTTTGTTCTGGTTCTGATCCACTGGTTACGTTTTCTATCTCTAAATGATACACCCAACATTTGTCTCTCCATCGCTCTTTGTGCCTTCCTTATCCTATCCAAATTGGCCTGTGTAAATGTCCATGTCTGTGCTCCGTAGGTGAGGACCGGTATTATGCAGGAGTTATATACCTTGCTTCGTAAGTATAGAGGAATTGTTTGATTTTTTAAAACGTAAGAAAGTTTGCCGAACGCTGCCCATCCCATTCTTATTCGTCTCGATATTTCGGCTGCTTGGTTTTCTCTGTTAGCTCTGATTGCTTGTCCTAGATAGATATATTCATTTACCTGTTCTATTTTTTCTGTTTTTATTTTTATTGCCTCTTGGTCTTCTGTGTTTGTCATTACTTTTGTTTTGTTGAAGTTAATTTTTACGCCTTTTTGCAGTGATTTTTCATGAAGTTCATTCAGCATTAATTCCAGTTCTTGTCGTTCCGAGGAGATCAGGAGTATATCATCCGCATATCTAAGGTGATTTAGGTATTTTCCGTTAATACATATTCCTCTGTTTTTATTGATATGTTTATATCGCCTTGACGGACTCCTCGTTTAACTTTTATATTATCCGTTATTAATTTGTCGTCCAGAATTACGTCATGGTTGCGTTTTGGTAAATATCATGTATCAATTGTCGGTATCTTGAATCTATTCTACTATTGACCAGAGCTTCTTCAACCGCCCAGTGTTCAATGCTGTCGAAAGCCTTTTCATAATCTACGAATGCTAAGTACAGCGGAAGGTTGTATTCATTGGTTTTCTCAATTAAGATTTTAAGCGCATGTAGATGGTCGATTGTGCTGTATCCTTTCCTGAATCCGGCCTGTTCCACTGGTTGGTAGTTATCAAGTTTATAGGTTAGTCGGTTGTTTATTATTCTTGTGAAGGTTTTATATAGTTGCGACAAAAGGGAAATAGGACGGTAGTTGTTTAGGTCTGTTCGGTCTCCTTTCTTTACTACGCGTCCCCCCTCATTATTACGCGTCCCAAATATTGTAACTTTCTTAATTTTATTGTATTTATTATTTCTAAGACAGCCATGTATCAAAATACTTTCGTGTTTATTTTTTTTTGTGTCCATGCTATTCTAAGTGTCCGTCTGTAACACCACAGTCCAAATGACTGTAGCTTATATATGTGTTCTTGCTTCAGTGTCCACCGTTCAAATCAAACTTAGAGCTCTTACTCTCCATTTTTACAAACGCATTTCTTGCTATTTCTTTAAACACTATTTAAAATTTTACAAAAAAATAAATTTTTCTTACAATTGTTTTGAATGATAATCTACTTGAAATGTTTTTTACATGTACTTTTCCTAATTGCATTAACATTTTTTTGCTAGTATTTGGAAACAAAATATGTTTAAAGCGATATTTGTTTGACTTACCTCGTTTTTCACAAATAAGCATATGACTTACCCCCTTTGTAATTGAACATAATAATTATAATACACAGCGTAGTCGAAAATTTTATTACGTTAATACAAGCTTTCTTTAGTGCAACGTATATTTAAGAACTAAAAACATTAAACATTAAATATCTATGCATAAAAATCTAGCTAAAGGATACTTCAAACTTTTAGTACTCGTCAGTTGAATGAGAGATAAGTCTTTATCTGTGGGTAGATTGTTGTAAACGTCTCACAGTGATTCTGATATGTATGGCAGTAAGTCCATCAGGTGCTTTTCCTTTTCTATCGTTATAGACAAAAG